TCAGCATCAAAAACAGATTTGAAAGCGAAACGCTTTTTACTGATGACACATGAGGAAGTCTTGCATCTTTCCTGATTTAGGTTCTCAGCTTCAGCAGCTTCCTGGAAGATGACTTGATTCCTGTTTGGTTCTGATTCAGTTTGGGATGTTTGTTCATCAACAGGAACCAACATACAGGTATCAGTCTCCTGTTTTAACTCAATCTGTTCTTCGCCATGACTGCAGAAAATTTCTTTCTCTTCCACTTTTATCTGCCGATGTTCTAGATCCTCTTGCTCTTTTTTTATCTGCCGATGTTCTAGATCCTCTTGCTCTTCTTTTATCTGATGATCTTCTGGTTCTTCCTGTTCTTGTTTCACCTGCAGAGGTTCTAACTCCTCCTGGTCCAGAGTGGATCTCCTCTCCTGGTTCCATTGTTCCTCCTTAACGTTATGTAGCAGGTAATCTGGTAAGAAAACAGAAAAAAGGAAGAATTGTTGACTCTTTTGAATCACCAGATAGAGTAGTGGTGCACCGACTGCAGTATTCTGGCTGATTGCTGATTACAGATTTTTAAAAAGTCTCACCTGCCGATTCCTATTTTGACTGATGCCATTCTTTCTGTCTGAAATGTCACTAAATATAGCAGAAAAGTCGCTCAGTTGACAAATGTGAGGTGACTACTGTTAACAGCGAACGTGCAGACATGACCTGGTGGGCCGGTCTATCAGTCAATCCTCTCACTGGAGAGCAGAAGAGTAAGTGGTTGATTTGTAGACTTTTGCTGAAGCAGATAAGATCAGTGGATAAAACTGGTTTCACATTTAAGTATCTGCTGATCACTGATCTCCCAAACTTAAGGAAATCGGGGCCAGTTAATCGGCTAATCAATAAATCGGTGCACCCCTGTACAGTGCCTTGGTATAGGGGGTGAAAGTGATGACAATTCTAGGGGCCCTGACCAACAGGGGGCCCTCCACAATTTAATTATTTATTTTTTGTTCATAGAAATTTAAAAAAAATCGGGGCCCTGTCAATTACAAAATTAATCATATGGTATTTTCAAAGATTGTTTTAAAGCAGTAAAAATTTAATGTTGCCCCTCCCAGAAAAAAAACCACACATCCATATTTGCCCTGAATCCCCCTATCTGCATTAAATGGTTTGTTCCTGCTTGGAGCGCTTCACCGTGATGCTGTTAGCAGCAGCCAGTGGAAGACACGAACGACTGTGGCAGTTACTTTTAGGCCTGTCATGATAAACAATAAATCAATTAACCGCACGATAAATTAAACCTATCGACCTAAATTTAATTATCGGCTTTATCGTCGCTTCCTTCCTTTTTTCTTTCTGTTGATGACACTGAATGAAAAAAGGCTCAGCTCCGGTGCTCTCCACTGACCCTCCCTTCCTATTTCCTTAGTGTAATGTCCAGCGTACACTACACGAGTTATCGGTCGACTGTCGGCCCATTTTCAAAACCTGAGAGACACATTAGCCGACAGAAATCCTAGGTATAACGGTTCAATCGGGTTCGTCATGCCATGTGGTGTCTTTATAACATCAAGAATGAGGGCAAAATGGAACAGGAGATCAATAGAAGGATTGGCGCAGTAAAGCGGGTGCTGTACCGGTCTGTCATGGTGAAGAGACAACTGAATCAAAAAGCAAAGGTCTCGATTTGCCAGTCAATCTACGTCCCTACCTTTATCTATGGCATAGGTTTAAGGGTCTTGACTGAAAGAACAAGATCACAAACACAAGCGGCCAAAATTATTTTTGTTCCATAAGGTGTCTGGGCCCTCCCTTAGTGATAGGATGAGAAGCTCAGTCATCCAGGAGGGACTGAGAGTAGAGCCGCTGATTTTTCACTTTGAGAGGAGCCAGCTGAGGTGGGTCAGGCATCAGATTAGGATGCTTCCTTGACGCCTCCCTAGTGAGGTCTTCTGGGCACGTCCCACCAGGAGGAGGCCCACAGGAAGACCCAGGACACGCTGGAGGGACGATGTTTCTCGGCTGGCCTGGGAACGCCTTGGGATTCCCCTGGAGGAGCTGAAACAAGTGGCTGGGAAGACGGAAGTCTGGGCCTCTGCTGACCCCGCAACCCGAATGCGAACAAGGGGAAGATGATTGATTTATTGATTGATTTTTCTTCAACAGCTTATGGGTCTTAAGACCCATAAGTTAATTGGGTCTTCTTAACTCAAAATCAATGTGAAATGATTCTACTAGACTGAATTGGTGGGCCACACTCATTTTTATTCCATTTAACACTTTTTATTCCTTTTCAGTGGGTCACATGAAATTTAAGCTATTAAACACCAATCATATTTTTTAATTTGTAAATTTAAATTACGTACAAAATGGGAAAAGATCTAAAATGGGGAAAAAATGAGTGTGCCTCCTCTCTAATGATTTGTAAAACAATTTGAAAGAGATTTTGAATCAATAGGACACATGTCTTGGAAGCTATTGCAAAAATATACTAAATTTTGACAAAGAAAATTGCTAAAAAAAATATTTTAAAAAAAGCATCAAAATGGAAAACAAATGACTGTGCCTCATCCATAAAGGGTACTAGAACAATTTCACACTGGTTCTGGGTCAATGGGTCACAAGACCTAGAAGCTATTGAAGAAAAATACTGAATTTTGGAAAAAAAATTTTTAAAAAAAAAAAAAAAAAAAAAAGTTAAAATAGGAAACAAATGACTGTGCCTCATCTATAGAAACTAGTATAATTATTTCAAAGTGACTATGAGTAAATAAGTCAGATGACCTGGAAGCTATTGAAGAAAACCTTATATTATTTAATATTAAAATTATTAAAAATATTGTATATGACTTGAAAATTTAATAGATGATATTGTGTCTCATGTAAAAGCATGAATTAGCACTGACAATTAGTCAGTTGGTCACAATTCATGGTATTTATTAGCATTTGTTTGACAGGATTGTTTGGTTCAGTAACTTGTTGATAGTCCCCAAGTGAACCTTCGGGCGCTTGAGCCGGGAGCGGTGGAGAACAGCTGGCCGACATTAGCGTTCATAAATCGGATCAACCTTGAGCTAATCGCCGCTTACTCCGCGGAGCTCGAATATCCAACTTGAAACTAACTTCAAGTTGGATATGGCTACCTATATTAGCCATTTTCACAGCATAATTGTGACGTCTGCGTTCATTTACCTGTTAATAACACTTTTATATGGGAAGAAGACAGTTACTAAAGTGATCGACATACAGAAAGCTTCATACATTTAGGGCTTAACCTGCATTCAAACGCTGGTATTTCCTACCTATTCGATGTAAGATTATCTGAGGAATCCGGGAGAAATCCACCACTCCGCGCTGATCATCCATCTCTTCCTCCGACTTTAAACTCTATGAATGTTTCTAAAGAAGGATTAACTGCTCTTTGAGAAACTAGTTTACACAAACTCGAAAATTCAACAAAGCAAACCGTGCGCCATCTTGTTCTTTCTCCTATTCTTCTTCTTTGGGATTTTATGACTGTTGGCATTCACATTGTTACATTACCGCCCCCTTCTGGATAATACGAGCATATCGGGTGAAGTATCTTGCCAAGGACTCGACAACTGAGACGGTGCTGGGGCGTTCAAACTGGTTTGTGCGAAAATTTGTTCCCCTGTGCGCGCTCCCCTGCGTCGGGAGCGCGCACTGCAGACAGAGGTGGATCTGACCATTTTCACGGCGCTTCTGATCGATTTCTTGGTAAAACTCATATAGTCATGTCAATGTAACTTTCAGTTTAATCGGCAGCTAACAAAATTCTAAAATAAATGAATAAACGAGGTCTTTTTTGGAGGTCTTCTTAAAACGTTTTGTGTTGTTTTTTTAATAGTCAAGAGATTCAGTATTTTTCCTACTTTTATCACTCAAGCCTGACAAATAAAAGTTAGTCACCAAACACAGTTTTCCAACATGTAGCGTGTGTTTATAATTTGTCATTCCTGATATAAGAGGATGGAAACTGGCTGGTAGCAGGACACCAAAAATTAAGACTTCTGAAAAGATGAGAGTGTATGCTTTCTGGTAAATACCGTTCTAATGTAAAATATGACAGATTACTAGATTAAGGAAATGTCTAGTATACTACATCGCACATAATCATCTTTGAGAATTTGGAAACAGTTGCTCTTTATTTCCCAAAGTTATGGGGGGAGGAGAGGAGAGAATGGATATAGCATTCTCTATATCCATTGAAATAATCTGCCTGAAATGATCTGTTCGCCTCCATAATATGGGAACAAATTAATTTACCAACAAGTCTTTAACTCTGTTTGTTCCTTTCTTCATTAACAACAAATCCTCTGGATATGTTGTATTCCCATGGAGGGGGAACTGATTATTTCAGGCAGCTAAAATATTTGGTACCCCACACCCCCTGTAGCTTTAGCAAAAAATTGATCAAATGTTACCAAATCCACAAGACTTGTTGGTAAATTCATTTGTTCCCATGTTAAAGGGGGGAACAGATTATTTCAGGCAGCTAAAATATATGGTTCCCCTTTTGGCAAATAATGAGAAAATGTTTTCAAACTTACAGGATTTATTGTTGATGATAAGCAGAATGAACACAGACTTCCTGATAAATTATTTTGTTCCCATGTTATGGCAGGGGACTAATTTATTTCATGTGCCTAAGTTATACTTTTCTCCCATAACAACTCTAGAAAATAATGTGCAGATGGCACCAAAAATCAAAGGATGTCTTGTTCATCAGGAGAGGAATAAACATGGCTAAAGACTTGTTGGTAAATTAATTTGTTCCTATGAGATGTGGGGGGAACAAATTAATTCAGGTAGCTGAAATATCTACCCTGCTCCCCTCATTGCTTTGGCAAATAAAGAGCAACCTTTTCCAAATTCTCAATGATTGTTATGTGTGATTTTCACAGGGGAAACAGGTTTTCGCACTAGACCGTCGGTTACATGAACCACAGTGGCAACAGGTCTACTGCCACCATCTACTGGGCTGAAATATAAGGCAATAAACATGCTAAAGAAAAACTCTAAACTTTTATTCCCAAATGAAACATTACATTTAATTAGCTTCAAAGACATTAGTATAACTTTTAGATCTATCTAAATACACATAAGCCATTTCAATATAAAAAAGAATCTTTCACAAAAGACCGCTCAGCAGGAAAGACCAAAATATTGTTACAACTAAGTTGAGAGAAACATCAAATTATTGAAGACAATCACACATACTGTTAGAATTTTTTGTTATCATTCTTACATTTCATTTATAACATTAAACATTTATTACTTTAGATCATTAACCCAACATTATATTGTTATAGATTATTGTGGTTCTTATTTAAAGTGTTCTAACTTCCTTTTGTGTGTATAAGCTGACCTGGAGGCCCCATCTGCCTTTTCGTCTTCATGTGAAACAGTTAATTGTGTATTTCCCAGATCTTAAATTATGTTTCCACAGGTGCCTTCTTATCAACCAGAATACTCCCTACCTTAGAAACTGCCTGTGTGCAGGCATGATAATAAAAGACGGGCTCAAATTGGAAGTTAACAGAACATGCGGTGGGCAGCTCGCTGGAGCGGCCCGCTGCATCTTCTCCTTTCACGAAAGCTTGGTCAAAACTCACACAAGTTGTCTGTGGTTCATTTTACACAGGTTGTCGAAAAATACCCATCACATACTTTGTACAATCAATCCACAAAAATTAGTGTGGTGAATTTTGCATTTACTGTAAAGTACCAATGGATTTTACTTGTTATTAAATAGGTAGTTAGACTGATTAATATGTGAAACAAATGAAAGCGCCAATTTCCATTAGATTTTTTGTGCTCTAAATTAATTACCCGAGTGATTTCTCATGTGAACAGTTAAATGACATTTTTCATTAAAACCTTTTCCACAAGTCAGACACCAAAAAGGCCTTTATTTGTGTGAATTACAATATGATTAAGTAAAACACGTTTTTGACTGAAACTTTTTCCACATGTGACACATGAAAAAGGCTTTTCACCTGAGTGAATCTTCATGTGCTCATTTAAATACCGTTTCTGACTGAAACATTTCCCACAGGTGATGCATGAAAAAGGCTTTTCCTCTGTGTGAGTTCTCATATGAGCACCAAAAGCAGATTTGAAAACAAAACACTTTCCACAAGTCACACATGAAAAAGGCTTTTCACCTGTGTGAATCGCCATGTGAAGTGTTAAATGGCGTCTTTGAGAAAAACACTTTCCACAGTTCACACAGGAAAATGGCTTTTCCCCTGAGTGAATCATCATGTGCTCAGTTAAATATTGTTTTCGACCAAAACTTTTCCCACAGGTGACACATGAAAAAGGCTTTTCTCCGGTGTGAGTTCTCACATGGACATTGAAAGCAGATTTGAAAGCAAAACATTTTCCACAGGTCTCACATGAAAAAGGCTTTTCACCTGTGTGAACCGTCATGTGATTAGTTAAGACGTGTTTTTGACTAAAAGACTGTCCACAGGCAACACATGAAAATGGCTTTTCACCCGTATGAGTTCTCATGTGAACGTTGAAAGCAGATCTGAAAGCAAATCGCTTTTCACAGATCACACACATAAAAGGCTTTTCATCTGTGTGACACCTCATGTGACTAGTTAAAACCCGTTTTTGACGAAAACACTTACCACAGGTCACACACGAAAATGGCTTTTCATTTCTATGAGTTGTCATGTGCTTAGTTAAAGAATCTTTTCGACTAAAGGATTTTCCACAGGTCACACATGAAAACAGTTTTTCACCTGTGTGAATCGTCATGTGCTGAGTTAAAACCTCTTTTTGACTAA